CCACCTGGTTCATAGGTTGACGCTCAACCACTGAGCCTCGCTGGCCGGGCGGTGTGTTTGTTTTTAGAGTGGATGTTCTCTCTGTTCTTTGGGTGTATAGTGTTTGTTTGTTTGTTTGTTTTTATTTTTTTGTGTGCTTGCTTCAGTAGCACATACACTAAAAAAAAAAATTGAATGATACAGAGACCATTAGCATGGCGGCTGTGCGAGGGTGACACGAATTCATCAAGCGTTCCGTATTAAAAAATATTTTCTTTTTTAACAACTTCAAACTTTCTAGGAAAAGTTCTGAGTTTATGTCACGTTGGCCGAGTCAGTCCCCAGCCTGGGCTGACATTTCTTTATCTGTTAAAGCAAAGCAGGGAGGCCATTTGGGCTGGAAGGTGGTCTCCGCTGCACTGCAGTGTTCTAGAACTTTCCATGTTAATGCGTGTGGAGTTTCCCAGGCCACCAGCTGCCTGTGGGTTTTCTTTTGACTAAAAATTTTTGAAAACTACGTTTGTCTGACCGATGTACACCTTACGGTGAAGGTCACCCTTTGGGCCCACGGCTCTGACCTTTGACGAATGGGCCCCGTGGAGCGACCACCACCATAGACAGGACGGGTTCCTACTTGCAGGAAGTCCCCTCGTCCTTGTGTGGTCAGCGCTTCACCCACCTTGTGACCCTGACCTGTGCTCTGTCCCATGCACCGGGTGTTCTCAGTGAAGTGAACAGCGCATCACCGCCCGGACCATGGCCAGTGTGAGGTCCAGCCGCCCCAGCTGCATCCGGGTCGCGTTCAGCGCCACCAGCACCAGGGCCGGCCTCCGCAGGAGGCAGAGGAACGCGCTCCATCGCCTCAAGGTGCTTCCCGCGCAGCCTTTCCCTCTCCCGGGAATGGGGTGGGGGGGTGTGTGCGGGCGAGGGGACCCCGTGTGCCCGAGACCAGGAACCCCTGCCCTGGGCCCGGCCGCCTGAGAAACAGGTGCTTGGCGTCATCCTTCCAGGTCTTTTTCTCTTCCCCGAGTCAGGTGTTCAC